TTTTTTTTTTTTTCAAGACAATAGAAGTTAGCAGAATGATTTTTCTTAACACATTTTATTCAAACAGAAAGTTTCCTAGTAGAAGCTGATAGTTTTTCTCTGGTTGCTCGTTGTATTTTCAGTTCCTTAAGTTTATGTTGGAGTTTGAATTTATTGGCGGCATAGGCTAAGAGATGGATATACTCGGTTTTCAGAGATCAACTCAGTTACTGCCCATTTCAAAAATAAGAGTAAGCCCCTTCCTCCTGAGCTTTGGGTGCTCATTTCTGTGTGAAGTGCCCCTGAGAGGGGGAGATAAAATGCCTGTCTTCTGTTGAGATAGGCGAATCTTTGCAGTTAGTGCATGATAATAATATGACATCTAATGTGCAATCAAGACAGGGCATGCTTACTTTTTTTTACATCAAGTCCTAGATGTTTCCAGGCATACCAAGGGCATCATCAGTTTACTTTGTACCCGTGTAAAATATCTAAAATCCCATATAGTTCAAATAAAGATTTTTTGTGAGGTTAACATATTGGTGCCTTTTTTAATTATAGTGGTTCACACAGCAAGAAATTTATGCCATTCTCTGATTTATATATTATCTCAACAGGAACTGAATGCCCAGTTTTCTGAACGTAGCTCTGAGGCCCTCTCTAACTTCCCGGATGGTTTTCTGGCTCTTCCTATAAACTCTAGAGTGGAACCTGTCACTTGATAATGCAACCTGCTGAAGAAACTTTTTCTTCTTTTTTTAATTTTTAAAATCTGAGGTATAATGCACCTACAGAAACATGCATATATCAATGTATAGCTCGATTAAGTATTGCAAGGTGAACATGCCCGTGTAGCAACCTCCAGACCTTGAAGTGGAACATGACCGGCACACAGGAAGCCTCCTCCTTCCCCCTCCCTGTCACTAATTCCTTCCTTTTTAAAGCTGTTATTTTGACTTTGAACCCTTTATATTAACTTTGCCTGTTTTGGACTTTTTTATATAAATGAAATCATACAGGACATATTTCTTTTGTGTCTGACTTCTGCTCCTAGTTATGATTGTGATACTTCTGGGTGTCGTGTGTCATATACTTGCAGTTCATTCATTTTTATTGCTCTTCAGTATTCCATTGTATGAATATACTGTAAAACATTGTAACATTTTATGATGGATATTTTAATTATTTCAAATTTTGGGCTATTATGAATAGCTGTGGTGACTGATCTTATTACTCTAGTGCACATGTGCATGCATTTCTCTCGGTACATAACGTGGAGTGCAATTGCTAGGTGCCTCAGATTTCATAGGTACTGATGAACAGGTTTCCAAAACGGTTGCACTGATTTACACCCCCACTAACAGTGTATGAGCATTCCTGTTGCTCTTCATCCTTCCCAACACTTGATAGTATCGAGTCGCCCCAATAAACGTTAATTAAAAACAAAATTAATAGTCGTTATGTTGGGTGTTTATGGTATCTCATCCTGGCTTTAATTTGCATTTTCATGATTGCTAATGATGATGAGCATCTTTTTATGTTCGCTGGCTATTGGCTGTTTTCTTTTTTGACATGTTAATTTACCTTTTTGCCCACTTTTTCACTGAGTTGCTTGTCTTGTTATTGATTTGTGGGAGGTCCTTATATATCTTGTATATGAGCACTTTGTCAGTTATATGTATTGCAAATATTGTCAACATTCTACAGCTGTTTCTTCTCATTTTTAAAAGTCTCTTAATGGGATCTTCTGTTGATGACAGAAAATACATTTCATGCTCTGCAAAGAAACGTTGCACAGGTAATTTGAAAATTTTTATTTGGTAAACATATTTGCTTGTGTTAGCGGTTAGGGGCTCTAGCAATCATGGCTTACCTTATTATTTGTCGTTGAGATATTTCAGTGTTAAATTTCAGTGCCATGGTTGAACTATTTCTGGTTTACTCTTACTGCTAGTGTCTAGTTCTGCAAGATTCCGAGTCAAAAGCTAGAGGCTGGGCTTGGGCAAGTTTAACCAGAGACCTTCCTTGGCAAGACTCTCAATCTCAGCTTTTCCCTCAGGACCCCCACCGTCTGTTAAAACTTCTGGTCAGCTGCACAATGTCTCAGCTGCGTTTTCTGAAATGGGCTGATATTTCAGGGAGAGTGTGGCCCTAAAAGATGGACCGCCCTCCCTGGGTTTCTTTCTTCTCTTGCTTTTGGTCTCATGTGTCTTTACTTCATTTTAATTTTCCAGACTTTCATTTAAAATAGCTCTAGATTTTTTCGTTATTTTCAGTGGAAGATTTGGTCTGAATTATCTCGTGTGTCATTTTTGGAAGTGAAACTCCCTGAATCGTTTTGTGTATATCAGATTCCATTACTATGTTTGCTCTTTCTAATGCACAAGATTTTATGGAGTTTTTCAGCTGTATGTGAGACTTCTTTTACTTGCTACATAGGTGTACAGTTTGTGAGCGTGCTTGTAGCAAGGGCTTAGATCCAGACTCCAATATCCTCAGTGTTCTGCTGAGATCCCCGTAGATCTGAGTGAGCCATGGGCATTTCCAGCTGTGCCGTCAGGCTGATTTTCGACATTGTTAGATATTTGGGATGGTTTAAATTCAGAGTTTGAAAATACTAATTTGCATAGCATACATTACATTTGTTAAGTTTCACCTTTACCGTGTTAAAGAGAACCTGTGGTGAACAGAGCTGTCATTCCATTTTTATTTCTTTCACATAGCAAATAAAACTAGCAAGCACTATCTACATAGTCTAGAGAATTAATGGGGGTGTAAAATATAACCACCGAGCTAAAAGTTAACAGCTAAATTCAAAGAAAGCTGAGTTCTCTCATATCATTGTTACCATGCATCAGATTTACTCCATATCAGATAAAGCTATGATTGCGTCACATCTCACTAGCTCATAGCTCATTGGTGTAATTGGTGTGTGCACCTTGCTCATTTACTCAGTTCTCCACTATGCCCAGCTCATAAGGACACATTCTTTCATATTGCCTAGACCTGGAAAATTGTATACACCTAATTGTGCACTCGGTTGAATTGTTCATCTGCCAGTTCCTCACATCAGGTTGTGATACTACAGCTTGTTTTGTGCTTTCTGTAATTTGCTTGCAAAGCAAGGTGGTCTCATAATTGTACAGAGGGCATCTCAAACCTCATGTGGGTGTATGTAGTCCTGACTAAGAAACAATTGTTTATGCAAAAGCTTAAAAATAATAGTGTTGAATTTTAGAAGGTTCTCTGAAGGCCACATGAAGCTTACTTCCAATTTGTACAAGGTTTAATACAGATTCTGTGACTCATTATTCCAACTGAAGTCAACATTTACATTTTATAAATATTTGACATGTGTTGTATTTGTGAATTCATGATAGCATTCTGTCAGAGAGGATGTGATTTTGTTATTTGAGCTTCTCAGAAGCTGCAGCTGTTTCCCCCTCCAGATTTAAGTTTAAAATAAAATTACCAAAGTAATGTACATTCATGGTGGAAAACTTTAAAATATTATAGAAATAAAGAAAAGTGAACGACTGCCCCATCTTTCACCAATTTCAAATCTGTTGGTAACCACTGTTAATCACATTTATTGTATATTTTTCTGAGGCTACACTTGTTTATCATGCATTTTCTCAGTAACTAAAATGTATCTTGGAAATTTTATAGAAAACATTTCTCTTTGAGAGGCAAAAGAATACTGGTTTTTATCATACATGCCACAATCTGATTTGTTAGTCCTTTGTGAATCATAGATTTTTGTTTGTTTTTCAAACTGCCCATTGGAAGGGAGTAGTTATTATTTATAGCATGATGTTATGGAAAATATTTTCTGTTAACACTTAATTGTGTTAATAAACAATCAGTATTGCCTGGGCCCTCTACCAAAGGAGAAATTAGTTGTCTAGAATTTATCCCGTTGAGTTGTGACATGAGTGAATATTAAGTTTGATTATTGATGGAGGAAAAAGTCAATTTTGTTTGTTTGTTTACTATAGAAGGGTTACTATTTTAATAAAAATGTAAACGTGGATTCAGCTATTTCTGGAAGAGCTGGTCATTAATTGAACTAAAAATTCTCTCAGCGCCCAACTTAGGATATTGCATAGATTACAACAGCAGGATATACAACAAATATTATTGAAATGGATTTTACAACAGCATGTATTGTTTAAGAGCTGAGGAATCAACATTGATAAAACCAGAATACGATCCCATAAACACAATGCTTTTGCTTTTGTTTTACCTCTTTTCTTTAAATGTTAACTCTAAAAGCTATTCTAATTTTTATTCTTATTTTGCTATTTTTGTAACTAAGTATAGAGACTTAGGACTTTTTGGTATCTTAGTAGTAAATTTAATTGGTGAATATGGGATGCTGATTAAAATTAGTTTATTAGTATTAGCTGACATTGTTAATATTTTTTTCTTATGTCTCAGAAATATAAAATAAAAGTGAGGAGGAATTAATAAATTCAGTCTTTCAAATAATATTTATTATTGGGAATTATCTTGTCATTCAGTAGTTTTAAATATATGCTGTGTTGTTAGGTACAGAGCTCATACCCTTCTTTCTTTCCTCCTTTCTTCCTTTTCCCTCCCTACTTCCCTACTTCCTTCCTTCCTTCCTTCCTTCCTTCCTTCCTTCCTTCCTTCCTTCCTTCCTTCCTTCCTTCCTTCCTTCCTTCCTTCCTCCTTCCCTCTCCCACTGTGACTAGTTTGTAACTACCAATTTGTATTTCTGAATCCCTCACCTTTTTCATCCAGCTCCCCCTAAACCCTCCCCTCTGTTCTCTGTATCTATGAATCTGTTTCTATTTTGTTTGTTTGTTTTGTTCTTTAGAGTCCACACATAAGTGAGATCATCTGGTGTCTGTCTTTCTCAGTCTGACTTATTTCACTTAGCATAATACCCTTTAGATCCATCTATGTTGTCGCAAATGGTAAGATTTTGTTTTTTATGGCTCAGTAATACTCCATTGTATATATGTGCCACATCTTTATCCAGTTGTTTATGATGGGCACTTAGGTTGCTTCTGTATCTTGGCTATTGGAAATAATGCTGCAGTGAACATAGGGGTGCATCTATCTTTTTGAATTAGTGTTTTGCATGCCCTTCTATTTAGAACTGTTCTTATTTGCTCTTCCTGTGGTCGGCCCCGTCTCAGAAAAAATGGTATCATAATCCTAAGAGTCACTCTAGATCTTTTTCTTCATACCACACTTCCAACCCATTATAAAATCTTGCCCTTTTTATTTCTGAAATCGTGCTTAATTCCATCTACTTCTGTCTAATATTTCTCTTCAGGCACCATCACTTTGGCTTCACTGCATTGGCCTCCATTGAAGTTGGTCTCCTTCCTCCTATGTGTGCCCCATCTGTGCTCCTGACAGCAGCCAAGTGATTTTCAGAAATGGTCATTTTGCTGTGAATGATTCCCTACTTTTACAAATCCTCCCTGAGCTGCTTCTGTTCCACATTCCTTACCATAGATCATAGTACCTATATTCTTCTTCTTTCTCTGTGTATCTTAAATTTGCCAAATTCATTTCTACGTTACAGTCTTTGCACTGGCTTCTCTTTTCCCCCAGATTTTGGCATGGCTGGCTTCCTCTTGTCATTCAGGATTGCACAGAGATGTTAGCACCTTGAGAGAGACCTTTCTCTCCTGCTGTCCTTTTTGTTACATAGTTGGTAGCAGGTAGCATACTAAACACGCTGTTCTGTATTTTGCTGTTTTCACTTAATATATTTTTGAGATTGTTCAGTATTAGTACTAATGAGCTTCCTAATTTCTTTCTTTTAATATGTAAAGCATTCTACTGAATGACTGCCCCATAATTTATGTAACCCAGTCTCATACTGATGGACGTTTAGGTGTGTGAGTCTTCTGTTTTTGTGCACAGCAGTGTAGTGAATGACCTTGTTGTCCTTGTGTCATTTTTGACACGGGAAAGTAAATGGGTAGAATGAATTTCTCAAAAGTAGATTTACAGAATTAAAGTCTATGTGCATTGTAATTTGTTACGTGTTGTTCAGTTTTAGAATTAGTATTTTAAATGCCTCTTTGCGTACTTTTATCTGAGAATTAGGATTTATCTCACCCTCTTCCGAAAAGATTGAAAGGTGGCCTTCTGTAAAATTACACTATGTGTTGAAGGTATGTTAATTCTAACTGACCACTAATACAGAGTGCCTTCTTCCCTTTGGGATCAGCTCCCCGACTCCTCCCCTCACCACCCCCCGCCCCCAGCAGCTTCACCCAGGCAGATGGTTACTCAGGTAGAGATGACATTTCCCAGTTTCCGTGCACAGCTAAGTTGAGACCATGTGACAAACTGTGAGTAAAAGTGATGCAGGCTGCTTCTGACTAGTCTACTTGAAAACAAAGCCACTTTTCTGGTAATTTCTCGTTTTCTCCTTATGTGGGTTGAAATGAGGTTGTAGTATGGACCCAGCTTAAACCACACAGGTGAGGATAACAACCTAGGGGTATAGTGGAGCACCAGGTGGAAGGCGCCTGAATCCCTGAATGACCTTAGGGAGCAGAGTGGCCTGCCAGCTGCCTTGCTTTCTTCTGGACTGCATTGTGAGACGGAAATAAATTTTGATCTTATTTCAGTTGCTGTGTACTTCATCTCTTCGAAAGAGTCTAGATTGTTTCCTAACTAATACAGAAATGTACCACAGAAATAGATGAGAAAGAACAAAGAAAACCAGGGTTGTCCAAATGTACATTTTAGGTCCTTGGTTGTTGCTGACTTAGAGTTGTGTGACTCAGGGTATTAGCAGTAGAAAAAGGGAAATGTTTTGAGCATTTTGATCTGTCTCGATGATTGGGCCTGTAAAGTTCCTTTGGTGGACTTACAGGATGATTATAATTTTACCACTGTTGGAAATTATAAAATACTTGGTGTATTTATTCATTTTCAATCATACTAGTTTATGTGTATGTTTTATTTTTCTGAGTCCTAACTATGATGTGTATTCATTTTATTACTTAGAGTTTTTTTTATACTCGAATAAACAGAGCAAGGATACTACGATTTTCCCATGTTTCTACACTGGATGTATAAGGCAATAGTTGTTCTTGCCTAGCATGTTGCAGTTCACTAAGTGCTTCTCTCTTTCAATTAAGATCGGTTTCAGTTGTAAATAACTGAAACCCTCCAATGAATGATGGCTGAAAACTGACAAAAGTTATTTCTCTCTGTGGAAAAGTCTTCAGTAGGGAGTTCAGGGTTCCATGTGGTGCTGCGTGTTCTGACCTACAATGCAGAAGGGATTCTGGCTCTTTCTGTCATGCTCTTCCTGTTTTTCTGCTGTGATGGCCTCAGGTTCATGGTTTAAGATGGCAGCATCTGTGTACCAGACAGCAAGATGGAGGAAGTGATGAATATGAGAGCAAAAGGCACATACGTGTTCTCTTATAGCTAATTCCCTGAAGTTGTCACTTGACACTTATGTATATATCCCATTGGGTAGCATTTTAAGTCATGTGGCCGGTTATCAGCTGAGGAGGCCAGAATATGAGTGTTTATATTTGGCAGCCACCTATCAAATTAAAAAATTTCTTTATTATGGAAGAAATGGGGGTAGGGGAGTAGATATTGGAAAACAACTATTAGTTTCCACCATGTCATCTATATTTTTTGTTCCACTACTTTTATACTTTTAGATCCAAATTGTTATACATGGCAAGGAGGGCAAGTTGTTATCCCCTTTTTAGGGATGATGAAATTTTTTTTTTGAGAGATTAAATTACTTGAACAGCTCACATAGCGTGTGCTTCATTTAGAAGGCTAATCACAAGCCCAGTATGTGGCATTGCCAGGAGAAAAGAGGTGGTCATCTGTCATTGGGCTACAGAGAAGCCAGCCACAGTGAAAATAATAGTACAGTAATACCTTGGTTTGCGAGTATAATTCGTTCTGGAAACAAACTACTTGTATTGCAAGACATCGCTCGTTTACCAAGTTAAAATGTATTATTAGGTTGATGCAAAAGTAATAGCAGTTTTTGCTATTACTTTTTTAAAAGATTATATTGGGGAAGTGGGGGAGGGAACAGCATTGGGGAATCCGGGAAGGGGAACAGACAAGTTGCTGTCCTTTGGTTCTTCAGTCTAGTTGTGGAGGACGTCGCTTCACTGGCCCATGTTGGTATTATCATTGTGCTCTTCCCGGGTGAGGCAGTCGCTCGCTGGCCATTGGACGGCTGCTCATGGCAGCTCACGAAAGCTCATGTCTGCTGCCAGTAGGCCAGCCCCACTGCAGCCTATGCTGTCGCGGGCAACTCACGGCAGCCCAGCTCCAGGTTGAGCTGTTGTTCACCATCTTAGCTGTAGAGGGTGCAGCGTCACTGGCCCTCATGTGGGATCTGAACTGGGGCCCTGCTGCTCAGAGCTGGCGTCCCAAGCCAACTCCTAACCAATTCACCCCTCAGCCAACCTGTATTACTTTTTCACCAACCTAGTAGAAATGTTTACTTGTCTTGAGGAACACTCGCAAACCAAGTTACTCGCAATTCAAGGTTTTACTGTATTTTGAAGTGGAGTACGAAATTCTGTGGTATGGCTAGAAATTTTGTGGATGGAACAGAGACTATATTGTTCATTAGACTCTCTAGATTATTTCCTGGGTGAGGATTTATTTGAAAACATGAAAAATCGCATTAGTTATCTATGGCTGCATATCAAATTTCTCCGAATTTACTGGCTGAAAATGTTTGTTGTCTGACAGTCTCTGTAGGTTAGGATTCCAGGCATGGCTCAGCTGGCTCCTTGGGCGCTGGGTCTCTCACAGATCGCAGTCATCTCATAAGTCTTGACTGGAATGGATTCCCTTCCTAGTTCATTTAGCTCCTTGCAGATTATTGGACTGAAGCATCAGTTTGTCATGACCCATTGGTCAGAGGGCTCTTTTGTTTGCTTGACATGTGGCCTTTCCACAGAGCATCTCACAACGTGGCAGCTTGTTTCATCAGAGCAAGCAAGCGAGAAGAAGGCAGGAGAGAGGGCCAGCAAGAGAGAGCACGCTAACAAGATGGAAGTCACAATTTTTTGTAAGCCAATCGTGGAAGTGACATCTCATATCTTTTTCTGTATTCTGTTCATTAGAAGAAAGACATTAGGACCAGTCCACAAGTGTATGGATACCAGGAAGCAGGGATCATTGAAACCATGACAGAAGCTGCCTACCACAAACATTATTTCAAAACTGAGGATGAAAACTCCAAATATAGTGACTTTCTATCATCACATGTACTACCGTGGTGGTGAAGTGGACAGTGTTTACATAATTTTGGATTTTGATTTTGGTATTTGGTTACTTGAACTGCTTTAATTTTGATAGGATGCTAATAGGCACAGCCTTCTTTCTTGAAATTTAGAAGTCATTCAACTCACTAAATTTAATTGGAGAAATTCTCATTCAATGTCAGTTCTCAATAGTTAGCAAAAAAGCTATTTGAAGGTAACGTCTGTGGCTACAGCGTGTGTATTGCTATATCCCTACCTCTACCTAGTATAGTAACTGGAGCAATTTAGTGTTTGTGCTTACTTACTGAATGAATGCTAGAAAATGGACTTGGGATTACAAGATACTGCTGGAAAAGGAGACCTATATTGGGCTCATTTTTCTCACTAATTTTGTGATCCCGGATTAATAACTTATTTCATCAGTGATTCATGTCTTTTGATTCAATAATTTCACTTGAAGATTGTATCTTTACTTTACAAAAATAATCTTATATAGGAATGTTTGTCACAGCATATTCCAGTAAAAGTAAATGCATATATAAACTGCATTTGGTTTCTTTGTTTACCTGTTAATGCACACTTGGATTGCTTCCATCTTTTGGCTATTGTGAATAATGTTGCTATGAACGTGGGTGTACAAAGTGTCCAAATATCTGCGACCCTACTTTCAATTCTTTTCGGTATATACCTAGATATGGAATTACTGGATCATCTGGTCATTCTATTTTTAATTTTTTAAGGAACCACTATACTGTTTTTCATTATGGCTGTACAATTTTACATTCCCACCAGAAAAACACACGAGCATTCCAATTTCTCCATAGCCTCCCCAACATTTATTTTATTATTATTTTGTATAGTAGCCATCCTAATGAGTTTAAAGTGGTTCTGCATCATTTATTTTTGGATAGTTGCTATTAATTACTTCTTCTATTCACAGTGAACAATAAAGGTATTTTCATTTTGTAAAAATTGAACAAATTAACAACTTTTAATTTTCAGTATTTATCCAATATTTTTTTTCTATTACAGCAGTATGGCACTTATTTTAGATGCAGTAGTAAATTGTTGGGATATTATAGTTGATCAATAGGACAAATTAGAAGTTTGATGAGGGTATTTTGAGATTTTAGTAAAGAACTGTGAATATTATAGTATGTATCTTAATTGTTTTTAAGCACTAGAAATTGGAAACACTAGACTTACCAGTCTTAGTAAATGTTAACTCCTATTTCTTTGAGAATATTTTGCTTAGCTCTTATTGACTAATTAAACTTATGTTTACCAATGTGTTTTTAAAGAACAACTTGATCAGAGGTATAATTTGCCATAAAATTTATCTGCTTTAAGTGTACAATTAATTGCTTTTTAGTAAATGGCCTGAGTTGTGCAGCCATCACCATAACCCAGTTTAGAACATTTCCGTCGTCCCAGTAAGATCCCTGGTGACCAGGACATTTCTTGGGTATATAGAATTGATGGCAAAAGATTTCTTAGAACAGTACTGTATTTACTGCTTTTCTCAAATGAATGCAAATGTCTCCTATCCATCTGCACCAAATATGCACATCATCAAATAGTGTTATTATTATTTTTTTTAGGGGACTATATAATGATAATACATGAAGTGTTTTTGAATCTGCCCAACTTTTAGCAAGGAAAATGTTGCATCAGAGAGAAAAAATCTTTCATGTTTATTTTAGATAGTCCCAATTATACATTTTTCAGTTTGACTTTAGTTTTTGATCTTTTACAGCTCATTTATTTTTAGCAGATCACAGTAGAGAAGATTGACAAGCTAATGAGAAGCCCTTTTAATTATGTGCTGCACATAAACATCAAAACCTTCCTCAGCAGGTCATGCTTATAGATAATTAAAATGATAAAGAACTGAATAGAAAGAACAGTTTATCATTACCTGAGTAATAAATGCAGTAACTTGCAAAATTGCGATTTTCCTTCTGTTTCACCAGAGGGCAGCCTTTTCTAGTTTATTACCTTTTGCTCTGATCTATTCACTTACTATTTTATACTTTGAAAAATGTAAGCCTTTTATTTGGATCCATGTTTGAATTATTTGGAGACTAATGATTGTTTTATAACTTTCAATTTTTTTTGTGATCTCTTTTATAATCGTGCCATGAAAAAGGGCTGTACAAACACGCCAGTCTGAAATGCTTTAGGCAGTAGTGTATCTGGTATAAAATATCTCTTCAATTTAGCCTTTTTTTTTCTCTAATAGCCCTCCAATCTCACTCTTTCTGTTCATGTTAAGGTTTCAGATCGGGTGGAGAGGCGACTTCAGGAAATAGAAAGAGAGATGCGCACAGAAAGAGAGATTGTGGAAAGACGGCAGGACCAGCTGGGACTCCTTTCTGTGCAGCTGCAAGAGGTTTGTGAAAAATTCCATCTCAGAACGTTACTCTTGAATGTGGATATTTGTTTAGCCATTGTTAAAATGCTTAAAGTTCCTCAGTTAAGATGCATGTGACAGTATAATTCAGTCCATATGAGAAGGGTGACATACTGGATATAGCTCAGTGAAAACAACCCGGCATCTAGTGCTTGCTGGCTGTGTGACCTTGGGCAAGTTCCTTAACTTCTCTGGGCCCCTTTTCTTTGTGGGAAATGGAAATAATAATATTATTTGCCTAATCAGATTGGTGCGAGGATTAATGAGTTAATGCCCAAAAAGCATTTAACATAGTGTCTGGCATGTGCTCAAAAAATGTTAACTGAAAGTGTAATTATTCTGATCAGTTTTCTTTGACATGAACTAGGGGTCAGCAAATGATGGCCGATGGACTAAATCTGGCCCATTGCCTATTTTTGGAAATAAAATTTTATTGGCACACAGCTTTTCCGATTCATTTCCAATCTGTCTGTAGGTGTTTTTGTGACACAAGGGCAGAGTTGAGTAGTTGTGAAAGAGAGGATTACGGCCCACAGAGCCTAAAACAGTGACTGTCTGGAACTGGATACAAAAAATTTGCCAACCCCTGGACTAGACGATCATGAAACCACTTCAGAATAGAGGTCACTTACCCTTTAGATACCCTTTATATTTTGAAATTTCGGGCTTTTGAAGAAGTTGAAAAATTAGAACAAAGAATTTTTGTGTATCTTATATCTAGATTCCCCCAATATTCACATTTTACCAGACCGGCTCTATCATTTTTTTCTATACATATCCATATGTATAGAAAATGCTTGTGCGCGTGTACACACACACACACACACACACACACACACACACATTTTTGAGTTAGTTGCACACACGATGTAAATACTTTTACACCTAAATAATATGGTGTGTACATTCTCTTCCATAATCACAGGAAATTAATGTTGGGTCAATACCATGATTTAATCTATAGGTTTTGTTCAAATTTTGCCACTAATGTTCTTTTCTTGTTCAAGACAGTACAGAGATCAAATATAGCATTTGCTGTCATGTCTTTTTAGTCTCTTTTAATCTGAAACAGATTTTCAATCTTTGTTTGTCATTCGTGACCTTGAAAACTTCGTAGAGTACTGACCAGTTATTTTGTAGAATGTCTTTCATTTTGGGTTTGTTGATGTTTCCTCATAACTAGATTCAAGTTATGGACTTTGGGCAGAAAACCCGGAGAATTGGTGTTGCGTCCTTCCCAGGATATCATGTCAGGAAGCATGTAATGTCAATTTGTCCCATTTCTAGTGAAAACTAAACATTTGGTTAAGGTGTTGCCTGCCAGGTTTCTCCACTGTAATGTTACTATTATATCTTTTTAATTATGTTATGGGGAGACTCTTTGAGATTTGAAAATAGCCTGTTTCTTGTCATACCCATGAATTTTAGCATCTATTGTTGATTCTTGTGTAAAACAATTATCACTATAAGTGATGGTAAGTGGTGATTTTAAAAGATTCCATTATTTCTTCTACATTTATACGTTGGAATCCTAGTGTAAGAAGGGACTTCATCTTTTTCTTCATTCATTCATTCGTTCATTCATTTTGGTGGGTGTAGATTTGTGAATTCTTATTTTGTTACATTAGTTATAGTTTATTATTATAAAAAATAAATTTGTTAAAATTCCCTTTAAATGTTTCTTAGATCTATACATAAAGTATACAAAATTAGAAACAGGAAAACAAAAAGGTTAAAAACAAAAGGAAATATTTTTCTTTTACCAAATGGTTTTCTCTAAACATGAAGTACAGATATACTCATTATGCTTGGAAGATTATTAGCCTTAGTATGGTAATTGACAGATTGAACATTTTTTTTTTAAGTAAGGATATTGCCAATTGAAAATTAAGAATAAAAATTGCAACCCTGAAATGATAATGTAAACTGGTAGAAAAATCTGCTTTTGTTTTCTAAAATTCCATCTTCCTTCACTTCACAAAAGGAGGCATACCCTTGTTAGTTGGTAATTACTTTGAAGAGGATACTTTGTTGAATAATTAGATACAGCATGTGGGTAGCCTATTTTTTTAAACTTGATTTTTATACATTTGTTCTTAAAGCAAATTGCATCTGGTGAGCATAAGAATAGTGCTGAAGAGACAATTGTTCTTCTTTGCAAGAGAAAATTAGAGAAATTTTCCATACTTATTTTCTTCTCTCTTTGCAGAATGAACAAAATTACAAAGAAAAGAGGGAGAGGAAGATTGCTTCCCACCTCCTTTGAGAAACCAGAGCCTGAATATTTGCATTGTAATTGTCAATTTGACTAAAAGCTTGAGCTGTGATTTGGAATTCCATCTCTGACAATACAATAGAGGATCGCTATTGATAAAAAATGTTTAATTTCGTATTTTGTCACTTTAATATAAGCGGTGACCTATACGCTTTTAAAAGGTGGCTTTAGATTAAATAGTGCAGCGGAAACCGGGAAGGATCAATTTAGGCTGATGCATTTTCCTGCTCCCAAGCTAAGTGGCTTAGACTCCTTTGGAAAGGTCATGTTTAAGGAGAGAAAACCCTGCTTTCTTTTCGATATTAAAAAATACTTGTGGAAATACCTGTACTGTTGATAATAGGAGTTGATGTATTTTGTATCTGGCTGTGGAGAGAAATTGAATCCGTAGGTGAGTAAGTATGCCTGGACTTTTAGCCCCTCTGCTCTTCCGCCTCCCTAAAATGTATAATTAATTCAGTGTTAGTGAAAATTACGACATTTGAAAGTTGTGAAGAGATTGGTAGTGTTCATGAGAAATTCCAGGATGTCAGAGATTTCTAGGTATAGTGCCATATTGTAGGGAGGCAACCTGTGTCTTTGGCTAAAACCTACCTTTAGGGACCTAATGAGGTCCGGAGCTTCACATGTTCCCATTTAATTCAAAACAGTGTTAATCATTGGAAATGGGAGGAGGGAAAGCCACTCTCCTTGTTTAGAGTTTTTAAGGAATTGTTCACTCTTTTCTGTTTTTTTTTTCCCCCCTTCTTTTTTCCCCTGTTGGCCTAAGCAAAAAGGCTATGTACTCTGGAATTCGCTTCCTTTTTTGAGCCTCGATTACTTATGTGCTATAGATGTCACATGAATATCTGATTTTCTTAACTTTGTAAGGACCTTCACTGGCATATGTCGAACAACATTGTTTTGGTATCTCAGTAGAGGCCTCTTTAGAGACATGAATGTTTTATATTATTTGTGCAATAATACTCCTTTCATATATCTTTTAAATTTTGAGTGATTGTTCTAGTGCTTTGAACTTTTACTAATTGAATTTAAATGTTGTTAAACCTGTAACCGTCAGCCTTTCCTTGTTGAACCACTGTGCAGACAATAGTGTTTGTTTAACATTAAGGTACATTTATCATATTACAAACTCCTTTTGATCAGGTGATTGATAGTAAGGTAACTGATTAGTTAAATTTCGTGGAGTGGATAGGAATGGTGGGTGCTAGGGTCACGACAGAGGTATTTAGACTAAGTCAAAGCTCTTTAGCAGGTCCAAAATGCACATAAAATCCGAGATAAAATTCCTAACCCATGGCTATGGCATTTTGGAAATTCCTGACTTGTTTTTTACTAGCTGTTTCTTGTAAATTGAATGTTACTTCTTCATCTTTGATTGAGTTACTTAAAATGAAAAACATGAGCTAAATGCTGGGCATATATTCGTGTGTGCTTTTCAGAGCATTTCATAGTATATTAATGCTCGATTCGTCATCTACCCCCATCAAGAATATTCCATGCTCGCGTATGACCTCGGGTGATTCAGATACCTTCAAGTTTAAAGGTGCTTCATGGAGAAGCATATGGGGCAAGCGAGTCATGGAATCTTAATAGAAGATGGTGAAGATTATGTGAGGAATTAAGTGTAGGGTGGGAGCTCAGCTCAGAGGTTTTTCAGTCTGTGCCCTCGTGGAAAACCAGATTATGTGTGCTTCATGAATAAAATCAGGCCATATGCAAAGAAGTTAAAGTAATTGATACTGGCTTTTAAAAATATTTTTCTTCATCTTTTGGCATCTGTACCAGTTACAGAAAATGTAATAAAGAAGTAGCTATTCATTCCTTCCCAGAAATGTAACAGTGGCTCCAGAGACATGTGGATACTTCATATAAGAAAAGCCTTGGGTACTATTTATTAATGTATTTAATTTGGACTCATTAAGGGAGACATTTCCAAGGAAGCCAAGAATGTTTTTCTAATGCCCTCTTAATATCATCAGCATCTCCCTTGAGACTTCTGTGTCAAGTCAGGGGAGAACCTAGCCTGGCAAATGTTCTTAGGTGGCGTCATTAACCCCTTTGCCCGCACTTCCTTATGTGATTCTCCTACTTGGTTTGGTGACACAGAGGTCTTTCTAAGCCTGGTCGATTTTGCACTCTCATTCATTTACCTTTCCAAGGCTGAATGGCAAAACTTTTGCTTGGCCATTCACTTCGTCCTCCTCCTCTTGTTCCCATAGTCAATGCCCTCTTTTTTGTAGGTATCCCCCACATTTTCATGTGTTTATTTCATAGCACAAGATTGCCTTTCCCCACGGATATTATTAAATAACTTTTATGTAAATGCCCATTAAATTACCCTCACATTGACCACCCCAATAGCTCTCCTGGAGTTTGGGAAAGACCAGTGGAATCTGCAAGTAAACAAGAGTTTAAAAATAAGATAGGAGTTCTGCAGAAAACACTTGAAAGCTCAGGATGCACCTATTTCCCCAGTCCTTGGGCCATGAGCTCTAGAATTCGATTCTTTGTCAGGCCCGGGTGACCGGTGGCGTACAGAGGTCACCAGCAGGTGGCCAGGTGGTGTAGAGAGGTGGAGAGTAACAGGCAGGGTGACACACAGGGCCCTCCCAACAGGACCACCGCACAGGTACCACCCTGCAGGCAAATGTTGGTAGCAAGGGGAAATCTGAAAGCTCCTGCTTTAGTGTTTATTCACAAG